AACCCTACTAGCCCATTCATATTCAGTCAAAATCAATAAATATCTAGAAGAAGTAGTTAAGTTCCAGCACCATTCAAATGAAATTATATGGCTTTGCTAAATGAGTCTATAAATATTCGCATTTTCTTGAAAAACTCCGTCATTTTTTACATGTTTTGAGAGAGATATAAACCACAGAAAGAACTTTTTATGGATTTCATGCATATTCTAAGGAAACCTTGAAAAGGTTTTAAAATTTTACTTTTTGAGGAAACTTTCAAAAGGATATGTTTGAGTGAATATTCAATAGATTAATGAAATAAAAGTTTGTTTTTACCTTTTATTAATTTCTTCGCATAGTATCTAACGAAGATTTAATTTTGCGTGGAATAAAAATTACGTTTTCATTATTTTTATGTATTTAACACTCGTATATGTTTCGAAGGAATTAAACTAAAACCCCATATTTTATCTCTTGAGACAAGTAGTTATAATTAGAAGAAGAAATTTATAAAGAAAGTAAAAATATTGGTAAAATTTTTGAAAAGTTTACGTTGCATTGCGTTATCAGGAAATTACCATCTTCAGTTCTGGCTGGTGTTGGCACTGCAACAACATTACTTACCCTACATTCACGGTAAAAATCTACCGGGTACACATGTATGTAGTTTCGGATTTTTAGTGTAAAATAAAAGTCAGTTTTTCTATACAAAAAGTCATGTCACGTCAAAAGAATTGTCAATGGCCTTAATCTTTCATTCTTTTCGATGTCCTTTTGCCATCTTTCTTTAAACTTCATGATTCTGCGCTCATAGAACTTCTGATTTTTAACAGCAAAACACTCAACTAAGTACGATTTGAGGTTATCATTATTACTGAAATTTTTACCACTTAATAACTTCGAAATAAATTACAGTCTGATGGCGCAAGGTTGGGGCTATATGGGGGATGCGACATCACTTCCCCACCGAGCTCCAGTAATTTCGCACTTGTTGTAGAAGCTGTGTGATGTCTCGCATTGTCATGGTGCAACACGATTCCTTTGCTATTTGCCATTTCTTGCCTTTCCTCTTTGACTGCTTCCTCCATAAGTTGTTGGCAGCAAACATCTGAATTGATCATTTAATTGCTTGAAAGCAGGGCAAAATACGCATCTTTGTAATCCCACCAAAATGACATCGTAATCTTTATCTGATATAATTTAGCTATCAATAAGATGTGTGCTGATTTATCATGTTTGGATCATGATCTTTTTTGGTTTCTATTATTGTAGACATTCCATTTTTCATCACCATTGAGAATTCATTTCAAAAAAGGGTCGATTGCATTACGTTCGAAATGCGTATCGCAAATACCGACTCGTGGTGTTAAGCAAATTTTTTTCAATTTATGCGGAAGCCAAATATAGAGCTTCTTAATGAGTCTAAGACATGCTATATGATTTTAAATTACTTTTTGTAATACATTTAAGCACAATTTCTCGCACAATTATGTTACGATTCGATTCAATTATGACCCTAATTGGTACTTACTTACTATGACCACTACCTAGATATATCACCAAAACTGGCGACCCTTGTAAGTTAAACTCTAACATAGGTTATAAAGGGCGCTAAAATAAAGAGTATTATCCCGCACTAGTTGCGCACTTGTTATTACCACACCTTTTTTTGGCTACATTTACGCGGAACCTTTCGGGTTAAACGCGTGAAACTTTTTGTGATTATTATTTTTCCAATGGATATCAACATTTTCCAACTTCCTTCTAATGAAGAAGAAGCGATAGAATTTTTCAGAGAGTCTATAAAGGTCTATTTTACCCAAAACACACGTTTTTACAAATGTGAAGTTTTATAATTGAGGATTTTATTGGATATGCAATGTAAAAAATTGTCAACACATTTTGATGTCCGAACTGGTACGTGGTTTCAAAACAGTCGTATTGAATTTTTAAAAGCTTTAAGATTTATTTACTTTTGGGCATATGAACAGTCGTTCATTAAATGGTGCAAACATCAATTGGATTTATCCGATAAGACTGTTATTGATTGGAATAATTATATACGTGAAGTGTGTGTCAAGAATTCGGAGGATAATCGAAATATTACAATTGGAGGAACCGGAATAATTGTCGAAATTGACGAAAGCCTTTTTACGCGTTGAAAGAATAATCAAGTTTGTATCTTGCCACAGCGGTGGGTCTTCGGTGGTATTTGCGGGGAAACAAAAGAAACATTTCTAGTCAGAGTTTCAACAACATTAATGCATGAAATCCAAATTAATATTGCTAAAGGCTCAACAATAATGTCAGATTCGTGGCCTGGATATCAAACAGAGGCCCAAGTAGCACGTGATGTAGCAAAAAGACGTTACTAGGACCACTTTGCAAACTCTTGGACCAGTTCGAAACCCCTTTGCTACGTCATGTGCTACTTGGGAAAGCTTATTGCTGCCGGTTTTGAACATCGATACAATTTTGTTGACCCGTTTACGCACACTCATACTCAACACGTTGAAAGGATGTGGGGTCCCGCTAAATGGAGGAACAAGCGACAACATGGGACAAGCTGCCATCATTTAGATATCTATTTAGCTGAATTTATTTGGCGAAAAAAAACAGGAAACGTGTTTCCATGCTATTTCTCGCCACTTTCCGCACCATTAACTTCAACGTTTTCTTTTAATCAGTTTTAAGAAAGTTACTTTAAAATTTTTTAATTGGTATTTAGTATATAGTTTATATATATATACATACGTTTATTTATAATATGTATATATATATTCGGGATTTTTGGTTTTTAAGTTTTTGTTTCTTTATAATTAGGACTTTTATTTTTAAAGAATTTATAAACATAAACCAAACAACGCCAAGGTAGTCGTCATAGTACGTAAGTACCCATTAATTTTTTCATCAACAACTTCAGAATGTCGGTCAAAACGTTGGGACATATTTAAATGAAAAATCTCAACGAAATAATTTAAACCTATTTTGACACAAGCATTTCGTTAAGCAATCAACACCATAAATTGCACCGCAACATATCGGTAACCTATGCTTCATTTATCGGTAGCTAAAGCTAACCTTCAGATTGCTGGTCACTGATGACATGATGGACATTTGTGACGACATAGATGGCAACCGATGTTCTTCGATTTGATTTTAATTTATGTCTAAATTTTCTGCATTTTTAATAATTTTAAATACATACATTGTGATTCAAAGATATCTGGCAAAAATGTAAAGGCAGTTTGAGGAGGTTTTACGGTGCAATGTGAATGCAGAAGTGGCGAGTTTGAATGGTACAGGGCTTTGTTGAACGTCGGGCAAAGCACTCTGGTAAAGTAAATTTTCACTCAAGGAGGTACCCTTTTTTCCTTTAAATAGTTGCTCAATTTCAGCAGCAGCCACGTTCACAAAATACATGTCTGTGAGTTCCGCTTTCGTGTAATCCCGAGAAATTCTCACAGGGAATAACGATTTATGCCAGCTGTATGCTTTTACCTACCGCTCAACAGCGCCATACTTTACTTTAACGCACCATTTCTGCACACATATTCCATTACACATCTGTTTATTTCAGTCTCTATTACCTGTCTATATATTTTTTAATCATTTTGTATTATTTACAATATGTATATTCAAATTACTGATAATCGTTGTTAGTATTTGCACTATTATTTTAATTAATAAAATATTGCAGGAAATTGTAGGTATTTGCTGGAAAACTCCTTGGATATAAATCTTTTCTTCTGCCAAAATCACGTATTTCTAAATCGCATTCTGAAATGTACTTTACTTTACATTAAAAGATTTTCCATTTTGAAAACTGACAATTCTTTTTAAAGCAAGCTTGTTAAAATTTTACATCTACAGAATAACAAGAAAAGCGACACCATTATCACTGCTCAATAATGAAGCGTAATGTATCAAAACTATCGGATATCATTTCATTCAGCTCTTTATTCAGTACTGCTCTACCGTGTTAAGAGGGCTGGAGTCTTTAAAGCACCTCTCGAGGTTTGCGTTTTCACTGCGACTCTATGTGAAGACTCTAGTCCACGAAAGCGAGCAGGAATTTGAATTCCACCCATTGGAAAGGTTTCTAGGCTTTAAGCTTATTATAGTACAAAGTGCTTATTACAGTACGGAGTCTTATGTCTCAAAGATAATAATTTATAAGAGTATGTGAATAAATTAAAGGGATGTTTGTTATGTTAATGCTGTTTGAAAAGTAACAGAAAGTGATACATGAATGAAACAAATTTACAATTAGAAGAAAAAAAAAGAAAAGACTGAAATGTTTCAGATTTTAAATTACGTCCAAAGGCGAATCTTTTTAACGTTTCGCTTATTAAATATCATGTTTTACGACGTACTCAAATTATAAAATTCAGTTCAGCAGAAAAATGAGCATATCTTCAGAATTTCTGATACAGAGTCTCGCGAGCTGGAGATAAAAAAAAATTTTTTTTTTTCGTTACAGTGTTGCATTGCTCGCTTTGAAATCGTTTAGTTTTTTTAGTCAAAAATTCGCTGATGTGTTACAAAATCTGAAATCGATAATAAAACAAATTTCAAGTTCAAATTAGGGCTTACCCATGCCCATATTCTATGGAAGATTAAAGTGATACAGCCTTTTAAAGTTTTCGACGCTAAATGCCAAAACGAAATTAATAGTCCTTCAGGACAAATTGCCTTTTTTCGACATACCTTCACAGGGATTGAACTTGGATTGGGTCATAAAGGTATATTTTGCAGTCAAATATATGTAATATTTTCACGGAAAGGAGAATTGCATATGGTAAGCAGGAGATATGAACAAAACTTGTTACACCCTGTGAAACAAATACTTTAATACTTTCGTAAGAACATGCTTACAGAAAAACTTTGCATCTATGAATGAGCATGTGCGTGTAGGTGGGTGAGTATGCTGTTCGAAATCTGAATGCTTGATAACCACTATGAAGGTAGAAAAGTGCATTTTAGTTTAAAAAATTCACAAATTTTGCTACCTAATTCAGACATAACAACTAAAAATGAAAGCTAAATTAAACATCTAAGACATCGAAATTAAATAGGTAATATATTGACAAATATACAAGGATTTAGTTCATGGTAACACATTTTGACTGTGTAACGAAGTGTTTTACGTCCATCACTGCATTCTTCTGCAGTATGTACTTCTGATGTATAAATATCATAAGAATAACAAGCTATATGAGTAGAATTAATGTAGTACTCATCTTTAATGTATTTATTTGTTGATTTTAAATGTCGGGTACACAAGTTTGAAGTCCATGGCTGGTAACGATCATTATGAAGAAAATGTGCTATCAAGGTAGCAGTTTTTCCCCTTCGCCATCATCTGTCCTGTCCTCCTGGACATAGTGTACTGCGTTTATTTCTACTTGAAAGCACCCTTCTATGGGGTGCGAAGTTCTGACAGCCGGTACACAACATGAACTTTTCATGCTAATCTCGGCATACACCGGAAGTTGGATTAAGTTGATAATATTCAGCTCTTGATAAGTTGTTTGTAATCGGTTGCGAGGTTGAGACCTTGCGAAGCAAAGATGTGCATTTGAGTGTTTGGCATCAAAGTCTGAGCTCGAATTAACACTCGAACGCCAAGTTTTCGGTTTTATCCGTTTTGTGCGCTCTCTGTGAGTTTTTCACTAAACTGATTGCGAAAAATTTGGTCTCGTTCATTCGCTCTCCCAGCACTGTTGTAATTTCAGGTTGTAATTCTAATATTCCTCTTTTTTTGCCTCGCAGAGTGGAATGCGACCCTATGTTCTATGGTAATTATTGCACACCTGGATGAGTACTATCACCCCTCTTAATTTATAAAAGCAATTTAGAAAGATAGATATCATAATAATGCAATAATTGCAGAAACAAATTGCGTTAAGATGATAATTTTGATAATTATCTGATTGTGAATTACATTAAAAGTATCAGATGTCGAAGGTATACAGAGATACACTGAAAATTCAAAAAAGCAGGTTTGTGGTAAGAAACGTCTCCTTTATATTAACCCTAGTAGCTAATCTGCTCAAGTCAGTCGAAATGAAATTTCGGATATTGTTGTTTGAATATACATGTTTGGGACTGTAATGATTTAAAACAATAAAGCTCTGACGGTTAAGATGAAAGTAAACAAAAAATCGAAATTTTAGAGTAACATTGCGTTTTTCCTACGCGATGAAAAACTATAAATGGTGTTGGAACGATATAGATATGACGAAAATTGCCGGCTTAAAATATTTTCAAAGAAGGACATTATAAGCGATCACAAAAAATTACATCACAAAAAAGAGGGAGAAAAATCTTTTAATGAAATAGCAAGTTTTCAACTTGCCCCAAATTTGCAGACGATAACGCATTACATGCTAGAGATTGTTGACAACAGTGACTAATGTAACATCGCATGGTACGTTTCAATTCTGACAAATGTCGTGGATGTGATGTGTACGCCTTAAATTTCATATAAACCCAGAACGAGAAATACATCGGAGTGTAGTAAGGGTATCTCAATGGCCAAGATGCTGCAAAGTTGTGAGAGGTGGCTCTGACTTGATACACTGTACATGTCAAACACTTGCAATTCCAATAAAAGTTATCTCTCCGCTTCTTATGTTGTCATTTGTCCTTTACAATAATTTTTTTTGCAAATGTTCTACGCCGGCAATGTTTGTCATTACATGTATCTTTCCAACGCCATTTATGGTTTTTCAATGCTCTGACCAGTTTGCACAGTAAAAAAGTGCGTGTTGCCATTCAAACGTTTCAAAATGTTTCACTGTAAATGTAACCAAGAGAGCTCTATTGTTTTAAATCATCATAATCTTAAGAGCATATCCTCAAGTAACATTATCTGAAATTTCATTTCGATTGCTTGAGCTAGGGGGTTCCTATATCGGGAAATTTTTCTTTATAACCATTCTGCCGTAACATAATACTCACAGTACACTAAACTAAAATTATGATTTCTTAGTTTAACATGCAATTTGCGCTTTTCTAGTTATACACCGAATTCTTTACTTTGTAGTCAAAGGAAATGAAATTCATGTTACTCTATAAATTATGGCAAAGTAATCGATGACTCTCGACACGTCAGCTTATTTTTAGAAGAAGGAGCAGATGGTAAAAGCAGAAAAATCCTCCAGATTTCGAGTTTTCTTTCTTTCTCCAAATGAGATGACGCGTTTGTTTCCACTTGAGAAGAGTAGAGTAAACAAACTATGACCACTGTAGTTATTTACGAAATCTTTATAAAGGATTTTCTGTAAAGAATCTTTCATGAGCGCTGCGTCAGATTCTTCTGTTTATGCTTTTTACGTTACACGTTTCTTCCTTAAAGTGTCATCTGAAACAATAAAACAGAAAAATACCAGATGCTATTTTTATACTCGCAAATAAAAAGTTGAAGGAAAGAGGACTGTTTCAGTTGATTATTCTGAGACAGAATCTTGTAAAATTCGTTTCGCTCGTGAATAATGCAAGCAAACCTTTTGCCTTATTTAGAAACTTAATAAAGAACTCAAGGTTTAAACTTTGTACTAGGATAGAAATATCAAAATTACGTCAAATTGAATTTTAAAGGAACAGTTTTATAGCTGAAGAAACGTAATTATTTAAACGGTTTGAAAATTTATTGAAACAGAAATACTTCTAATTGTATCTTGAAAAAAAGTTTTAACTTAAAGCAGGTTCTGAAGTGTATGAGACCCGCCAGTTACCGAGTGGTTGCTGAAAACAATTAGACCCATTATGGGCTCGATTCCAGGCGAACACATTGGCTGAGGTTTTCTCCATGTGTAACGTGGATACGAGATGGTTCTCTTAAAGAGTCCCCCACAAAGGCATCCATCCTATTAGGGAGGCTGCTTTCAAGTACTTTATTATAGTGAAGTAAACGGAACTAAAACCAAATCAGAGGTACATGATGCTATCAGATTGAAATTTGAATATGAGTCGATAATTACATAGTAGTATAAAACGAACTTGAAAATTTTAAAACTAAGTTAATTAATAATTACAAATTGAACGGGACGTACAACAATTAACGTAGGATGTTATCGCAGTTGGCAAAATCTTACCATCCAACATTATTTTCAATTGCTGAATTCAATTTCTAAGGGAAACTGGCTCGCATACATGTTACACTTCAGAAAAACACGAAAACCGTTCGCCGGGATTCGAACCCCGGATCTAACTACCAGTGTTCAACGACATTACAGCTCGGCCGGCTGGTGGGCCAATAGTATGTGTGTGTGATTATGGCAAAGCGTCGAGGGCCATCTGCCTAAGGGGAGGGATGCCTTCGGGGAGGACTTTCTAAGGGAAACTGGGTGGGCCAATAGATAGCTTCATAAAGGCGATGCTATTAAAGAATCAGTTACAAGCCAAGAACATTTTCGGTTCAACTTTCTTCTCACTGATTTCAGTTCAGCACGTTGTAATTGTAAGTAAAATAACGATTATTTTCATTATTACGGAAAGTAAAATAAACATTACTTTCATTATATTTCTACGTTTTAAAACTTGCACCATTTAAGAATGGATTTCAATAGTTAATCTATAACGTCATGTGTACGTGATAAGTATTCAAAGGATATTTAAATTACGTAAGACTTAAGTTTGAAAAGAAAGGTATTAATTACCCTTTTCTACATTAACAATGTTCATTGCATTTCAATGAAACGTATGTAAAATAAATATTTAAGTTTCTTAACTTTGAGTGCATTCGTGTAGTGTTTACGTTGACTATGACATGTTAAACAAGTGAGTTTATTGACTGAACAAGTGATGTATTGACTGAATGGAGATTGGGTATGAACTTTTCTGATCAAATACTGCAAAGCGTAATTTATCTGTTTTCAGCTAGCCCCAATTATGTCAGTTTTGTTGAAAATTCTCGGAATTATGATTTTGTAAAATTCCATTACCATTCACGCAATGCTTGCTTTTTAAAATTACAGTTGAAGACATAAGTTCGTTCGCAATTATAAACCTTGCCATTTTCGGAAACACGCAATTCAAGCTCATCACGCTACTCCCGTTTTCCAGTAGGAGGTACAATCTAAAGGGCTGTCAACAGGAAAAGGATTTTAAGGAACACAATTATTGCCACAAAAAACAAAATAAAGATTCAGAAAATACATGTAATAAAGTGAAAAAAGCTGGAGACAAAATCCCTTCATAATTCTACAGCATATGCATTTCATCCTTTGTAAGCAGTAGTTACATATTGCAATAAATAGCATATACCTGTTATTTAAATGTACATTAAGAAGCAAATATTACACTCGTTGTGTTTTAAGAAGCCTAAAGTACAAGACAAAGCTCAACACTTTTATAATATGAGCCTTAAAAGATTCTTGTAGTCGGAGAAATATCAACCAGCGGTAAACGAAGCTTAATCTAACGTATTTAGTAAGGACACGGAAAGCGAGTTGAGTCGAAGTTGCAAAGAAGTTCATATCTGAATCAATTTTCGCATTTAATTCAGTTCTAATTTTGGTAAATCTATTAAGGCAGCGATTCTCAACCGGTGGTACGCAAAGAAATAAAGTATTTTTAACTCTTAAATTCAAAAATTAAATACCCCAGCATCCTGTTTAAGGCTTTCTCTAAAACTTGTAGGCCCACCAGCGGCCGAGCGGTAAAGTCGCTGAACACTGGTAGTTCGGTCCGAGGTTCGAATCCCGCGAACGGGCTGGCTGCGTGGGTGGTTTCGTGGTTTTCCGCATGTGTAACGTGTATACGAGCTAGTTTCCCTTAGGAGGTCCTCCACGAAGGCATCCGTCCCCTTAGGCAGATAGCCCTAGTGTGCTTTGCCATAATTAAATACACCACCACTCTAACACTTGTAAGTTTATACCACCTTGAGCTTTGTTCAACGTCAATAGCCGCTCATAGACTTTAGCAAAATAATCCGTTTTTATTTTCACAAATATTCTTTTAGCCATAGACATAACAAAATTTGCCATATATAATGTTTTTAAAAGGAGTGATAGAAATGGATGTCGTATTTAATAAAAAAAGTAAGTTCATATAAAAAGATAATAGAAGTGTCTCATTAATTATTTTAGAGTTGATCGATTTATTAGCATGTGCGCACAATACGTCGCCACAGTTTCCGGGCTTATTGCTCTATTTTTCAATTAGAATAAATTTTTACGCCAATTTACGGTCTCTAACAACAGGTATTTTGTATTTGTAATTCCTTAATTTTCTACACGATTATAGAATACAGTCGTTTGTTTTTGAAGAACTTGTTATATATTGTACTTTTAAATACCTTTGAAAAAATAATAAAACAAACCTAGATTTTCAAAATTGAAAAATGGCTAGGTTTGACCCAACGGAAAAGTGATGATTCGCAGGGAATGGATCCAGGACAATCTACTTGCACTTAAGAATATTGAAAAACAAACAAAAATTGTTTTTAAAAATAATCATTTGGGTTTACTTGGAATGGAGATGAAATGGACCCTCAACGTCAATGTGCAGTTTGCGATGAACTAAGAATGTGCTGTTTGCGATGTATCAAAGCATAAAACCATCACTTCTTAAAAGAAACCTTGAATCTAAGCATACCAAGTTAATGAATAAAGTTGAAAATTTTTTTAAGAGAAATTTATCGATTTCAATAAGAGTAAACAAGTAATGAAAGGTTTTGTTACTTCAAGTGACAAAGCTTTGGAAGCTAGTTACACAGTAAGCGAATCATTCAACGGGAAAGCAGCTAATTAACTTAATGATATTCCAGTTGTCAAATGATACAGTAAGTTGGCGAATTCGTGAAATGGCAGATTCCGTAAAAGAGACACCTACTCGAAAAATTAAACGCAGTGAGTATTTCGCATTATAATTGGATGAAAGTACTGATATAATGAATTTTGTTCAATTATTAGTTTACATATCTTTCGGAGAAGATAAACATTGAAGAAAATTATTTTTGTGAATCTCTTCATGATAGAGCAACTGAAAATGAAATTTTCAAAGTATTTGACAATTTTATGTCTAAAAATGGTATTTCTAGAAGTACGTGCCTTGCCGTATGCAGTGACAGATCTCGGGAAAACATTCCGGATTTATTTCTAAAATAAAGAAAGTCGCACCCGAAACTAAATTTACTCACTGCTCCATTCATCATGAAGCTTTTTAGTAACCAAAGCAATCCCCGAAAACCTGAAAATCGTTTTGAATCAATCTGTGAAATTTGTTAATTTTATTAAAAGCCAAGCTTTAAAATAGAGAATATTTACGATTTTATGCCAAGAAATGGGCAGTGAACATGAAGCGCTTTTGTTACATTCCGATGTAAGGTGGTAATTCAGAGACAAAGTTTTAAATCGTCTTTTTGAACTCCGATCAGAAATTCCGATTTACCACTGTGACTCAAAATTTGAGTTGCAAAAATGTTTATTTAGTGAATTATGGTTGGCGCGTTTGGTATAATTTAGCTGATAGTTTTGGAAAGTTAAATGAATTTAGGATTACAAGGACAACGTTTTAATATGTTTACAAATTAGAAACAAAATAAATGCAAAGAAATTATAATAATAACTCGAGCTAATAATCTAAGAATTGTATAATAATATTTTAGGCTTTTTACTGCTTTAGAAAGTTTTCTAACCAAAAATAATTTGAAAATAAAATATTAGCATCCGACATTAACATCTAATCGTTTAGCTGAGCATTCTGTAGTTTTGTGTGGCTCAGCACACTTGACACATCTAGGTATCAACTTACAAATATCTGATGAATGATGGAAGTGTTGGCAGTTGTGACACTGCAGAACACTTCCATTAGATTGGTACACAGTAAATTTAACATAAAACCCCATAAATTTTACAATGTCATAAATTTGTTCAATCCCCGGGGTGTTTTCCAGCTGCAAAGCCTGGAAAAGAGGCATTGGCGCTTTCGTTTCTATTCTGTGCATCTGGGCTATATACGAAGTTATACGAGGGCTATTTCTTTTTAATCTCCGATCGGCTATAAAGAAAAGACGAGAGAATATACAAAAAAGATTTTATTACCAAAAGTAACGTACAATACAGGTTATTTCTCTACATAATCACCTTGACGATTGAGGCATTTGTCATATCTGTGAACAAGCTTTGCAATACCCTCTTCATAAAATGTTCCCGCCAATGATTGGGAGTGAGTTGTGACGGTTTCTTTCAGGTCCACGCCATTTTAAAAGCGCTTCCCGCCAAGCCACTGCTTCAGTTCAGGGAACAGATGAATGTCACTCCTCGCGGCGCTAGGTCGGGACTGTATGGTGGATGTTCGAAAATGTCCCATAGAAATTGTTGAAGGAGCTGTTGGGTTACACGACCGCTGTGAGGACGG